ACACTGAAAATTCCACCAAAAAAAAAAACCACAAAAACAACAACAACAAAAAAAAAAGCAGCTGCTCAGAAGAAAATCAAGGTGTGAATGTTACTATTTAACATTCCATCTATTCTGTACATGGTGGTGCCACACTTCACCTCCCTCCCTTTCACTACTATCTACATATCTCCAGCCCTCACATCAATACACAGCCTGACAGGAGTTTCTCTCATAAGATATTAATATAGTGATCATTAATGTAGGTTGGGTAAAATTTTCAGAATTTCATTCACTGGCACTTGGTGCTCTGTTTTGCACTAGTCCATGAATTATTCTGCATATTTATTCTGGGTAATTCATAATACTAATTATTCAGACCAAATAGTAATGCTCATAAGGAAATACATCGTTGAAATGAGAAGTGTGAAAATAACAGTGTTTAATAAAAGTGCAGGCTGATTTTCCAAGGATGAAATATGCACAGCTTTGTGCATGAAAGAGAGATGACTAAAGCTGAAAAAGATAAATTAGGGCAGTTGAAAGTGAGTTGTCCTAACACTTACATCTCTGCTTTCTGCACTCTGGTTATGTTGGACTGGATGGTCTGCCTGCCCTAAATCAACTCTGTAATTAAGAATTTCTCAACACTTGCTCTAACCTGTTTGTGCTACTCTGAATCATTCAAGGCAGCAAAGCTGTTTTCTTACAGCAACAGAAAACACTTAACCCTGTGAACTGTCCCTCCTCTCACAGGGCTGGCTCTAGGCACTCTATGCCCCTCCTTTATGTCCCTATTCACTTGTGGGTTATTGCTTTTCAGATGATTTCGGGATCCACATGCAAGGGACCGTTTATGTTGGTTCTTCCCAGGAGACAGTTTCACTTCATAGATCAATCATTAGGATAAGGAAAAGCACTCTAGAACCAAAGAAAATCAAGATATAAAGACAGTTTTTGATCAACTAGCCACTAGAAGGAAAAAATTTTTTTTCTGTTTCTAGCAACCAACTCCCTCATAACTGGAAGTTAAAAGATAGTAATGGCAGCTGAATCAGAACACAGGAACTTAATTCAATCTGGTATATGAACTACTTGACCTGGGCCAGTTCCAAAGAAACAAATGTAAGAAAGGCCCAAAATAAGCCAAGCTAATTCAATTAACATTGTATAAGGTGTATTTTTATTTTAAGCAATTCATTATGAAGCAATTTAAGCCTCTTTAAGCCTCCTGTGACTCACAAACCATGCTAGCTTTTCTGAGAGAAAGTGACTATTCCAACTAGCTTGAAGGTTAAAATGAAGTGTTACAGTACTGGAAAAACCCCCAAGTTTTATTGTAGAAACATGTTTTTGACTTGTATTAGTTTCACTTTAGACTACTTGAGGGCTACTTGAAAAAGACCTAACTGATCCAGTAATTTAATTTGACATATTACTATCATAGCAGATAACATATGGATTTGCCAAAATATAGAATATTCCTATATTGCCAGGTTACATAGCTTTGTTTTAAACAGCAAATAATTCCCACAGTTTTAATACTGCCAGGTCAGAAGGACGATATTAAGGTACAGCTCCTTCCCTATTTGTCCTCTTTTCCAGGCCTCCCTGGAACAGTCATATATACATACATATTTAATCTACTTCCATGTCATTCTTTCAGTACTTGCTTGTCAACTTCTTTATTAAGCTTAAATCTGTTTAAATTTGTTATCAAACCATTTAGTATTTTTAAAAGTTTATATTTTGTAGTAAGTCCAATAACCAATTTTAGGGCTCTATTTTGAGCCCTCAATAGCTTATATTTGGTGATTTTCATTACATTCTGTACTTGCCTTCGACTGCGCAGTTTTACTGAATTTACTTAAAATGGCTGCTACCTGCAGTCAGTGTCTGGGAGCTGAGCCTGGCAGAGCTCCAGCAAGAGCAGCCACTCTCCCTCACTCTGCACTGGCCAAACAGAGCCTGCTCCCAGGAGAGTTCTCTGGGCTCAAATGCAGCCACTCTCTGCCAGGTGCAGGTAAGAGATGGCAGAGTGAGGCAGAGTGCAGCCAACATCACAGAAATGGAAGGAAGAAACAAAGAAGGATCTATGGAGGGATGATATAGGGAGCAGTAGTTGAAAAATGAAAACAAAATGCAAGAGGCAATCTGAGATTTACAGTGGAAATTGCCAATGCAAAGAAGGAAGCATAAAGAACAAAAAGAAAAAAAAAAAAGAGAGAAAAGGGGGATGAGGGAGAGTGAAGGAAGAGATTGTAGGGAGAATAAAAAGCAAGCATTTAAACAGAGCAGCTGCATATCCAGTCTTGTTAAGGAGAATAGAGAAGGATAAAATGACAATTCTTGCTCTGTCTAGGAATAAGGAAGTAGTTTTTGACAAATTTAAAACCAGTTAGTTTTATATGTATTTTGGGATCACACTTTGATTCTGGAAGGAGCAGAAAAGGAACATATACCCCAAGCTGGCCAACAGTTTCCTCAAATCAGTTTTTGGATTTCAGAATCTTTATGCTATTTATGGAATGTTCAGGGGTCTACCACTATAGAATGCTTTGGGTTGTAAGGGACCTTCAAAGCTCCTCTAGTCCAACCTCCTTGCAATAAGGGATGTCTTCAACCAGATCAGGTTGCTTAACCTGACCTTAAATGTTTCCAGGCACAAGGAATCCACCCTCTCACTGGACAACCTGTGCCACTGCTTTACCACCCTCATAGTAAAAGATGTGTTCCTTATGTTCAATCTAAATCTGCCATCCTTTAGTTTGAAACCACTGAAGCTTGTCCAATTATGCTTTTATGTATTCTATTACATTTTTATTTTTCATGTTTGGAAAAAAAATAAATTAAATTAAAAAGGTCCAAACCTACCAAGTGTTCACTATTTGATCTGATATTCAAGTTTTGTCCATTCCAGTCTTGTAGAGCAAATTAGCCACCTTTGTTACAGATGGTGGCCTCAAATGGTAGCCAAGTGATCCTTGGTTCTAGCTCCATTTCTCCAGGTAAATATTCTTCACAGCTATTATTAGCCACTATGACCTTTATCATAAATGGCAGGCAACCAGCATATCCTTTCAACACCAAAGCAAAAATACAGAAACTGCACAAACCACATAACCCTAGAAACAAAACCAGCTTCCCTCTTGCAATTGTAACACTTGAGAATAAATATAAAAAATCCTAAGCTAGGCTAGCCTAGCTGCTCAATGTACTGGCCAATAGGCAATAAGCTTAATCCAGACCAAGAATAGGAACCAGAAAATCTTGATATCCAATATTGCTCTTACATGCCACAGACAGCTGTAATTGGGACAGTGTGTATTAGGATCTCTTCCAGGAGGTCATGCCCATGTAGTTTACTCAGCCCACTGTACATCCAACACTCCTCAGCAGTGGTAGCAACACTGAATTTTATGGTCCCAAAAATAAGAGCAAAATACATTTTCTGGAAGAGAATGTCAATGCCTTCTTCCTATCTGTTTTTATACCTCTTGTAAGGAACATTTACAACTCTGTAAATACTTCAGCATTCCTCTTTATGATATTTGTAGCAATTGGAAAATAAACAACACCCTTACTATTATGCACATAATACTGCTTACAAGTCCAAGTACTTTACACACATTTTGACAACACTTTTCTTTCCCCAAAGACTCTCAAAACCCAACTGATTTGTCCCTAGCTAAGGCAGCACAGTCAAAGAATCCAGTATATTCCCTAAACTTGCCTTCCTATTCCATCTGACGTCTGTTGTCACGTACATGCAAAAGCTTGACCTCAGCCAAGAACAGCTCCAGGTTGATGCAGCTGCACAGCTGCACCCCGGGCTTGGCCCTGTAAATTACAACCTTGAACAGCAACTGCAGGGTAATTTACGCAAGGTAGAGGAACTAGTTTCATATAGCAAATAAGCACTATTCTTTAAAAATATAACATGAAAAGGAAAATGAAAAGTTGATTTTTACTAACTAATCTTTCCAAGAGTCTGTCATGTCACAACAGCCTCTGAAAAACAGGCTATTGCCCTTGCTTCGGGAGCACGACGTGGAGGCAGGAGACAAACACCGACGGTGGAGATAATTGGAAAGGCAACTTCTTTCCAGATACTATCCACCTCTTTGCTCTAGAAAGGCTCTTCAGCTTCTAAATTTCCACTTTTCCAGATTGTGATGGTCTAAGTTGACTTCTTAACATACAACAAATTCCAAGATCACCTTAGAAGGATTATTTTTTTTCCCATCTGGAAGTACACCAACAAAAAAGAGCTTTGCCATTACCACCGGCCGTGCCATCCCTCACCCCACTTGCACATAGAAACCAGTGGTCACCGGGCCTCCATCGAGCACCAAGTGCCACTTACAAGGGCGCTTGTCCTTGTCATCGACAACACCACCACTGAAACGGATTCATTTCCCTTCGCCGTTCCAGCCACCGCCTTTCTGGGCAGCCCGGTCGGGGCTGGCACCGGGCAGGGTCCCCCCGCCCTGAGGGCAGGTCGGGGCCCTGCGGCCGAGCCGAGGCGGGGGCCGCCTGCACCTGTTCGGCAGGGGAGGGAACGGGAGATGCTCCTGCCCGAGGGGGTCCCTGCGGCAGCGGGGAGGGAGCACAGCAGGCGGCCCAGCCTCTCCTTCCTTCCCTCCCTTCCTCCCTCCACCCGTGAGCGGTCCCGGCCGGCGGCGGGGGGCGGCAGGAGGGGCGGCAGCCGCCGGGCGCGGACCTCCCCCCGCAGACCCCGCTCGGTCACCCCGCCGCGCTCCCGTACCTGCCCCGCGCGCGGAGCCGGGCAGCGACTGCGCGACGGCGGCGGCGAGGAGAGACATGGGCAGGGCAGGGGGAGCGCCCCGCCGGACCTTTAAACCCGCGCCGGCGGCGGGACTACAGCTCCCAGCGGCGGCAGGACTGCGGCGGCACCGCGGCGGTACTACAGCGGGACTACAGCTCCCAGCGCTCCCGGCGCTCCGGGCACGGGCTCGAGCCCTGCCCTTGGCGCAGGCGCGCTGCGGGGCCGGGCGGCGGTGACGGCGGCGCGGTTGCGCTCAGCGCTCGCCGCCTCTCCCCGCGGCGGCCCGGGCGCTCCGTCCTGCCCCGGCTACCGGCCCTGCGCCGCGTCCCGCCTGCCGAACGAGGGAAGGGCCGTCCCGGCCGTCCCGCGGAAGGGCGGATTTGCCGCCCTCCCGTTCGCTCCGCTTTCTCCGCCGCCGCACGCGTGACGCCTTTGTCAGGCTCCGGGCCCTCGGCTGGGCCCGCTCCTCCGCCCGGGGCCATGGCCGAGCAGACGGGCTTGGCGCTGCCGCAGACCATGGACAGGTACGCGGAGGGAACGCTCGGGCTGGGCCTGTGACCCCCTGCGGCGGGTTTGGGATGAGTGTCGCGGGTCCGGTTTCGATTTTTGCCCTCTAAAAGCCTCGGTGGCCTGACTGAAGTGCCAACGCTGTTCAGCAGCGCGTAAAGTACCGCGGGCAGCTGAGGGACAGGAGGGATCGCTCCCGCAGCCCTCGGCCAACAGGAGCTGCGTGTGTGTGCGTGTGTATATGTGTGTGTGTGTGTGCGTGTGTATATGTGTGTGTGCGTGTGCGTCCGTGTGTGCGCGCGTGTGTGTGCTCCCGGGCCGGCCGGGGGCTGCGGGAGCCGTCCCTGGGCCCAGCAGAGCCCCCGGGAAGGGAACGCACTGATGTGCGCGTCAAGTGAGGCACCAAAAGATGACCTAAGCATAGCCGGCCTTGTGTGTTTTGTTGCTGGTTTTATGATCTGAAGAAAGCCTTTAATTGCTTTCTGGAGCGCTTATTAAAATTACAACCTTAGGAGTATTATGACTTAAGCATCTTTCTTCGTCTATAATTACTAACTTGTAAATTCTACTTATTATATTTGTTTTCTCTATATATGCTTTTATTTGAATACGTCACCCTTTCATCCTGTTCCACTGAGCGCTTCAGGTTCCTTAAGTGTAATTTCTACTCATCTATGAAACCCTTGCAATCTATTCCTACAAACAATAAAGCACATTCACAGCCTGTTACTGCAGGAATTGTAATAGCCTGGTATCTCAGAAGGTGGAGATCCAGAAGCAGTCAGGCTTCTGTCGATGAACCTGTCAAGTTTTCATCATAAGGAATCAAAAAGAGCCCTGGTGGTTTTGTCCTTTCCAGGTCGCCTCTAAGGAAATAGTGTTTAATGAAATACAGCCTGTCATCAGGCAGGTGATGGAAATACAAACTATGGGAGGCAGGGGTGGTACTTGTGCAGCCTGGAAGGTGGGAATGAGAGGTTCCAGTTTGACATAGAAAGAGGATAAAGGTGATTTGGGGAGGGAAAGTTTGTGTTCTAGAAAAACTGAAAAGGTAAGAGATGACAAGTGGATTATTTATGTTATAAAAGTATTGCTGAATCAACTCCTCTTAAACTAAAAAAAAAAAACAAAAACACAAAAACATAAAAACACCAACAAAACAACAAACTTTCATCTGCATCCTGAGTTTTGCGGTCTAGTAATATTTAGAGTCCAAGGAAACCATAATACTGTCTGTGGCTGCCCTGATGCCCATGGCTATTGTCCTGGTTCTGAAGTCCTGGTTCACCCTGTTGGGAAGTGGCTGTGAGGTTGTGTTTATAATCTTTGTTGTGACCAACAGTTGAATTAAACAGTTAATTAAAAAAGAGAAAGGGAAATTAGTTATCTGGTTGCCAAACCAGTTTACTGTTCTTCAGTTGTTACCTGTAATAGAGATGTGGGCTTTGATGTACATTTAATATTCTTGTATTCTTTAAAGTTTGTCAAATTATAATTTGTGTCTCTGGCTCTTTTTAAAGACTTTTCCTGGTATGCTTAGGGTAGCTTGATATGTAAAACACTTGGACAGCAGGGAAAGAATTTGAAGTACCTAAGTAGCATAAAAGGAGGTGTGATATGCAAAATCTTAACCAGTGATTGCAAATGATTATAGCTTAACAGAAAATGCATACTTTAAAATGAAATACAGATCTTTTACTGAAGGATGCAGAAAACAGCTTTCCAGTGAAGATGACTTCCATTTGGATTCTAATAGTTGAGGAAGGGGAGAAGAAGGGTTTTCTTCTGTTTCCAGTGCCTAGATGGCCACCAAGAGTGGTGTCATGCTGTTGTATCAGGAATTAGGTGTTGCTGTAGGTCTGAGTGCATGCACTGCTTTGTGAACAAGGGTCAGAGCTCCCAGAACAAGTTCTTTGATTCTCTGTTTGTGAGAGGGAACAGCTGAGTTCTTCTCTTGACTCTTAGATTCTGTACCTGTATGATTACAGGTTTATTTCCTTAGTAAAGTTGGGTTTCTCTAGTGCAAGGACTGACTTGATAGCATCACCACATTCTTGCCTGGGATTCTTCTTTCTTTGATGTATTTTGTGCTCCATCCTTTATTTGCTTGCATAATTCAGTCTAGGAAGCAACCCATGGATTTGTAAGGAAGGTAAATAGCTGTTAAAATGTAAGGAGTCAGTTACTCAAAATTTCTACCTAAGGATTTTATACTTACCTGAAAGATTGGCTGTAGCATAAATACAAGAGGCATGACAGTGAAGTGACTCTACATTGTGGATTGTCTCATCTGCAGCTTTTAGGAAACTAATCCATATGATTGGCATCATCTTTTCTAGCCTGAAAATTGGAATTTCCATCCCTCTTGTAATTTTTTTTCTTCTCTTTCATGTTCACATAACAGTTCCAGATAATAATTCTTGAAATGCTGTCCTTTTCTGCAAGCAGAAATCTTTTCAGTCTGTGGTAAAACCCCATATTTCTGGACTAATGCATACACTTTTAAGGCAGGTATTAGTAATCTGGCTAAATGCTGAGATTTTATTATTATTTCATTATTTTAATGCCTTTGTTCATGTTAGTTTAATGCATAAATTACAGAATTATAGTAATCTTCGTTAAAACTTGAAATTATGTGGCAGTGGGTTTTTTATGTGCCACTAATGTGAGCTGTAATGCTAAAATGTACTCATATTTTAAGCTTTATTCTCTTGACTTGTGTGTGGATTGCTCTTGCACTTGGTTATGCCAGTGAATGGCTGGGATTCTGTTTTTCCAAGCATATCCTGTGGCAGTGATTTGTGGTATTTCATGTACTACCCAGATTAAAGACACTGCTCCCTTCTGTCCGTGTATTTGCCACCATGGCCAGAACATGCTCACCGTTACTTCAGGCTGTAGAGGTGTTAGTCAACATTTGATGGATAATCTCTCAAAGGCTTGTGCAGGTACCTGCTGAAGAATCAACACAGTGATCATTTTAGCATGGTTTAGTTTTTGAATTAGCGTTCTTAATTTTCTGACGTGGTGGTAGTTGCTCAGTTGTGGTGAATATCCTTGGTAAAAACTGGAGCAAGATGATGTGGCTTTAAGTCTCTGCCATTCCCTATTCAAAGGAGATGAGAGCTGAAATTGCAGGTAGACTTTAAAAGCAATTAAACAATAAATTGTAGTTTGCTTAAGAAATTACTCTTGCTATCTAGAGGGGAGTGCTGTTGCAATTAAATTTTCTCTTTCCAGATCACTGATTTATTGGGAAAATGCTAGCAATTGTAGTCCAAAAATTGCAAAATATTGTTGGATTTTCTATTTCAGTTTTTGAAATGTCATCTGATTCCATAGTAATTTTCTTTTTTTTTTTTTTCCCAAGAATAAAGAATATGTATGGTATTGTACATGACTTTCAGTTTCTCTTTCCATTCCAGTCACCATTTGTGGTGGTGTTTGTGTTGAGATCAGTTCATTTCCTTCCTTCTTTGAAAGTGCAGGCACTGTTTTAGTTTTATTTGCACAGTTAATTGTTGATACTTTAGTAAGCTAATACAGGGTTTTGGATTATGACCCTGATGCTGCAATCTCAGTAGTGTAATTGGTGCAGGGTGGTCCTTGATTGAAGATGTTTGTTCTGAACATCCTTAGACTTGTGCTGGATGTTGTGCTCTGATTTCTCTCACTGAGGGAAGTTGACACACGAGTGACTCTTTCTAGGAGTGGAGTTCCCAGATAAGATAGTGCAGAGTAATAAGCAACATAAAACACAGTATGGGATTTATGTATTATCTTTATTGTTTACAGAATGACATCTCTGCAGTCACTCAGTCTGTTTGTTCTACTCCTGCTGATTAAGCACGTCTCTTTTCCTTGTCCTACCTCAAGTAATTCTTTTCTTTCTTCACAACAGAGTTAAACTGCTTTGAGAGAGATCTTCCTAACTTCTGGCTGAAGTCTCTCAGTGTCTAGCAGTACCTGGCTTTCTGTTCTTCCTTGAGAGTGGGTTAGAAGGAAAGGCTGGGTGAGAGTAGAGGATGGACTGTGCTGAGTTCATCTCCCCCAAGGAAACAAGGAGTCTGTTTTTCCCTGTCCTTAGCCCAACTGTTTGAAAGATGATGTTGATACAGGATGGAAAAAGCAAAATCACACCTATCTTGGAGAGTGGGTTTCGAGAAAGAAAGTTTGAAACAGTAATAGCTTTATAATATCTTGGCTTTCTCATTACTGCTTCATCCCAGGTACATCCTTTAGTATTTTGCTCCACTTTATCCTGAAAGTTTTATGCAGATTGACTTCTTCCTGTGTCATACCAGTGAAGATGATTAATGGAGACTTGATGCACACCTGTACATTGACTTTTGCCCATGGGAAATATACAGGTGTCAGCATGTTGTTTATAAACTACCTTAACCTTTTGACTCTTGTCTAATGTATGTTATTTTTCTATCTCTGTCTCTTTTGATATGCTTAGGAACAAATGGACGTGTTTTAGTCGTTGCTTAACAATTAACTTCTCCCTGCAGACAGTAGGTAATTATTCTTCCTATTTAAGTGTGAAGAAACTCCTGAGAGAAAACTTACAATTTTTTGTACTCAAACTCTTGGCATCCCATGTATTATGAAGGCATTCAGATAATATTTTCATTTGTTACATTCACTTTATCTAAAAAGGCTGTACAAACTCCTGTTTATTGATCTCTTCCATATAGAAGTGCTCAGACTCTGTAATAGTGCTTAAAGTTTTAATGGTTTCCTTTGCCATGGTGTCTGTGAGTGCTCACTGAAATGGAAACTTCTGACAGGTAATGCAAATGTGTTGAATAAATATATGTATAATAATTTACAGACAAATATCAAAAGGTTAAGATATCAATTTTGCAACAACTTCTTAAAGTAATCCTTAAAGTAGTAATAAATATGCCAGCTGTTTTAGGCGTGTTTGGTGCTTTTGGCATCTCAACCTGCTTATGGCCTTTCTGCATTGCAAAGAGGGTGGAAAATTCCTGGTGTGAAAATAAGTGCTTTC